ATACAACCCATTTTCATTCAGATATCTTGAGGTCAGAGGTCAAGGGATGGGCCATGCCAGTTACACTAAAATGTAGCCTGACTTTGGAGCGTATGTAGCCTCCTTCCTGAAGAGCTAGCATGGCGTGGTTGGTACCGTTTCATATCTTCCCTCTTTAAAAGAAAGACAGAGCGGAGTGGAAGAGGGACGGAGAATGAGGCCAGTCAGGTCAGAAAGCTGTGTCAGCTCTGTTCATACTAACTGCAGTTCAGTTCTTATTGAGCTGTGATCAATAGGTTCATATTGGCTCAGATACGGTTCTGTGAGTTTGTATTGGTACTGTAAGTATGTACGAGTTTAGGCAGTACAATTGTTCTTTAAATCATTTAATAGCTCATTATTTAAATCTCTGAAGCGTCCCATTAGGAGATTATTTGTACTTGTTCTGACTCTGATGTGTGTTGGGGGAGCAGCGCTGGGGAAGGAACATATTCTGAGTTAGAAAGACTTTAATTTAGATTTATTTCCTGAGTAATATTTGTTGAACCCTCTCCATCTTCCAGCGTGATGTCAGTGCTTGGAGTCATTATTCTTCTCTAGTATTTATATATGTTATTAACACGCAGCTCTGTCTACACTTGTGTTAGAGTTTCTAAAATAAACCCAACCTTTGTGTCCTGAGCTGATAATTAATTTTTATTTGTAACTACACAGAAACACAGAGTTGGTTTTGAATCCTGAGGGAGCGTTTAAAGCGTCCGGCACCGAACACAAAGGTCACTGAGAGACACCGAGAAGACGACAGCGGAGAGAAAGGGGGAGACACGAAACCTGCTGAGAGAGAAAAGGTCAGTGTGTGTGTGTGTGTGTGTGTGTGTGTGTGTGTGTCTGTGTGTGTGCGGCCACATTTAAAGGAGGTACCAACATCCATAATGGTGACAATACAGAAGTCCACTTACACTATTGTCACTTTAGGAAGGAATCTTCTGTTCAATATCAAAGTGTGTGTGTGTGTGTGTGTGTGTGTGTGTGTGTGCTGCAGTTTAAAATAAAACCAGTTTCTTTAGTAATCAGACTCTCAGCTGGTTCGTTATCTCTGCTGACAGCTGCGTGTCACAGCCGATCACATCATCTCCCCACACACATACACACACACACACACACACGTTAACATGATACACTGATGTCGAATACTGCCCCGGGCCTTTCCCACAATGCAACACGCCTATGGACTCCATCATCAGCAAACGACAAGTTCTTGACAGTTCGGTTTGAATCCAGAGATGGAAACAACACAAACAGGGAACGTTGAGGAGCACCAGGAACCTCTTCAGGACTACATCTAGTCCCTGTAGCGGGTTCAGACTTCCCAAAGCTTCAGGAACTTACGGGGCGGAGTTTGTAGGACTGACTGTCACTGGTTGGTCAAACACTAATGTAACTCCAGCCTGTGCACGCTTCACCCCCGGGAACAAGAAGTCCTCTGGTTCAGCTTTTCTGCCGGCTTCCTTCCTGCCTGGGGGGTCACCCAACGGTTGCAGAGCCAAGAATAAAATATTGTGGCAAACAGCACAGAATGCAAGACAGGAAGCAGCTCCCAGCGACATCGTCCCTTTAATGACATCCAGGGACAAGAAGTGACTGTCGGCTGTATCCTTTTATACATGTTACCGGGCCCTGTTCCCTCATTGATCTCAGTGTATTTCTGTCATTGAGCCTGAAGCAGACATGATAACTGCTGACTGTGCAGGTGCCGTAATCTCAATGAATCTATGAATCGTTGTGGTTCTGTCTGTGGCCATCGGTTCCTGTGAGTCTGGGAGTGTCCATGTGTTACACGTGAGGAGGTCGCAAATGCCAACCAGATTCTCAGTGAGTGGACTCCACCACGAGGGGAGCTCCTCCTTCTTCAGGTAGTAAAGGGGATTCAGGGCAGAGTTTGTTCTTCGATCTACTTTTAGTGAAGTAAAAGTGGATTAGTGACGAATCACCGTCATGAATGACTCATAGCTCAATAAAAGCCTGAATTTACGAATGATAAACATTACGAGACCCAGATCATGTGTTCAGAGGAGCTGATCTCCCTCTGGCTGCCTGCACTTCACACTGTGCTGATTATTCTTGGGGGGGGGGTGCGACTGTAGAACGTTGAGAACCACCATTTGAAACCATCGCAGGTCTGAGTGGCCCAGGGTTTGAACCCCACCTCCTCTTGTCCACATGTGGCAGCGTCCTCGGGAAAGACACTGAACTCCAAACGCTCCCGTTGGCGAGAGTGCTGAGAGAGAGACTGAACGAGTGGACTTTCCTGTCACATTCACACACAGACGGCGGCGTGTTACAGCGCTTCCTGACACAGTGATACTGAGCTCACTCACTCACACACTGGGGGAACAGTTTGGGGTAGAACCCTGCGAGGGACTGGCGCCCGCCTGTTCCTGCACCGGGTCGGGTACCTGTCGGGTAACTCGCACAAACATTGTGTAACGCAAACAAACCTATATGTAAAAAATACTGTGAGAACAAATGTGGTTTTTCTTCTGGAGGAATCAGACATGAAACTGACTGCAGAATATTTTTAACATCTAGAACTAGTTAGAAGCCTCATCAGCTGCAACCGTATAACACAACATAACGTTCAAAGAACTCTTACAATCACCAGAACAGGAGGACAAAGTCTCTGTTAGTACCTGGACGCTCTGCTGGTTCTGGATTCTGCCGTAATGGTTCATTATGATTTGAATTCATGTTTCTAAATCACAGTTCCGGTCTTTGAGATAACTCGGAGGTAACTGCGGATAGCGGGTCGGTCCTAGCTCTGGACCAGTGCAGCTCACAGTCAGGTTTTATTGTGCAGTAACAAAAACTGACTTTACAGATAAATAACCAGGAATAAAATACACAAAGACAAGAAAATAAGTAGAACAAACTAATAAAAGCTGACAGAATGTAACGTTCATATGGAAACTGTTCTAATGATGGTGTTGTAATGCGGTTGTTTCAGGGGTTGGTTTGTTCTGACACTTTTGTTTTGTATCGTTAGTTTAATACTGTAAAATATGCTTTATATATAATAATAACCTAACGATAATAATGATGATATCATTATTTTAAGAAGACAAAATGACTGGATTTTGATATAAAAATATAAATAAATTGACTTTCTCTGCATTTGTGTCACACACTGTTAATTAGAGGAACAAATATAACTGAGGATGTGATTAATGCTTAAAACAGGAACTAACCGCTGTCCATTTAATAGAATAACTGCTGTAAATATAGTGATAATAGATAATTGAGTGATACCAGTGATCGAGGAAGTATCTGGACCCTCTGAATACTCCCCTGTTCATACGGCTGTAAACATTTACTGCTCATAAATTTACAAAGAGATACAGTCGGACGTCTTTCCAGTTGCAACCGCACTCAGCTGGAGAGCTTCCAGGTAATTTTCCGGCACGTAAAGTCATGAAAAATGTATTTGTGAGGTTTTCTTCCACAAGTAGGAGGCCTGCCAGGCTACGAACATCAAAGCTGTTCATTAAAATGTAAATGTAACCCTCCAGTTCCTCCATCAGGAGCGCAGCAACAGCAGGACACCAAAACTTCAGCCCACTCCAGTTCAACAGCCCAAAGTGCTTTAACTATTATAAAATACTGATCATCGATTTATAAATGATTCTGGAGCTGCCTTCCTCTGCAGCCGCTCAGTTAGTTTGTATGAAGATCTGCTTATATTTTAAGTTAATCACAGTCAGGATTTAGTTTCACTGTCAGACTGAAGGATGACGATCCGTGTCTAACGCTTCTAAAGCCGGATCAGACTTTATGCTATCGTAATAATAATAATAATAATACACAGCACTTACACAGTGTACAATCCTTTAGTGAGAGACGGGTTGGAACAGCAGAATGATTGCACAGTAAAATGTGTTTGTGCCTGAGAGAAACTTCAAAATAAAAGATAACTGGTGAATGGCAAAAGCTTTAAATCAGCCGTACACTTAAGATCTGTTCTTACAGAGGCCCAGCGAGTTACAATAATCTGAGATGATATGAAGCACCAATGACAAGACAAAAGACCAGATTTTTACTCTGCAGTTGATAAAAACGTGATTTAAACAACCTTTATAACCTGTTTCTGTCGAACATTAAACCCTGGTTTCTGTCTGCAGGTTGTTTGTAGTAAAGTTGGGACTTTGGAGGACAAAAAAAGAATGATTTCAGATTAGTTTTCCTGTAGCTGGAAACAGTGTCGGGACATCCAGCACTTTATTTTTCACTGAAGTGTGATCGATCCAATAGGAGCTCAGTATCGACCCCCGGTTCCAACATCAGAGCGCTGTGAGGGGTTTCAGACACCGTTACACCAACTTCACAAGTCTTCACTGGAAATTTACAGTAATTAGTTTTGCCAGCAAAGTTCTGTATTTTTAGTTTCTTACCTGATTATTTGTATTATAGCAGTGTTCACCTGTATTTATAGGTAGTTTGCTTCTGTTGCTTTGTGACATATTTCCATTTTAATAAATATCTGAAAAGGAACTGTGCGTGTGTGTTATTATTATTATTACAGTAACATTCTTTAAATACTATAGAAAACCTCACATACTGTAAATATAAAGTAATTTCCTGACAAAACTGAATAAACTAACTACTAAATTTAGTTAGTAAATTTACAGAGAAAAGTTACAGTGTTGATAAAAGTACCACGTTTGAAGAGACTTTCAACCTCGTCCAGAGCACGGGAGGTCACCAGAACCACATCAACATCAGCAGAAAGCATTGATTCAACCTGGAGGCGGGACGGGACATCTCCACCCCGCGGCTGCACCGAGAGATTCTGTCCAACAAAGTCACAAATAAAACCAGTGACAAGAGGCAGGGGTCTCAGTCCAGGTCTTCTGCCTCGGACCATCCACGGGGCTCTTATACGGACCAGACTGGAGAGAGAACAGCGGATCCAGCAGAGAACAAATCCAGCAACTATCAAAGTTTTGGAAGAATTTCAGTTTTAAAGCAGGGCAGGCCGAGGGGCTGTGTCCTTCTACGAGTTCTGCCAGCTGAGCTCCCACATATCCGAAGTGACAAATGCCTCTGGTAGACCTGCACTGGGGCCATATTCCACTCAAACAATCATGTCACAGCAATTACAAAAGGCTGAAGTCAAGTTCTTGTTGAGTTTGACGGTTCGTTCTTGGAAAGTCGACGAAGCGATCTGAGGACGCTTTTTGTTTTGTCACCTGCCGTTCCGAAGGTCACGAATGAACCCCCGAAACTTCAAAAAATAACCTGAAGAACGACCAGACTAAAGGTCTTTACACACCGGGAATGAGACAAATAAACGACACAAAAATGTGGCTGCGAATATGTGACATCACAACTTATTAAAAAAAAACTACAAAACAACTACTTACTGGCAACAATGCAAATTTGCGACACATTAAAATAAAAAAATTCAATCCGCACACATCACGGACTGGGAAGGACAGGAAGTGGCGAAAAAACGCAGCAGCTTGCAGAGTCACATGACGGATGTAGAGGTTGAATTCACCGTGAATGAATTAAAACAGTTAGCTCACGTTCCCTTTAAAAGCCAAGTCTGCAGCTGATGTGTCGCAATTTAAACGGCGGATTTGGCAAGTTGAAGAAGTTTCTGTTGACATTGTTAGCTTCATCGTTAGCTTTATCGTTAGCTAGCATCCCGATGTCTGTCTTTTTAAATAGTCTCTCCCTCTGCCTTCAGCTGCTGCTGCCTTTATGCGCTCCCTTCCGCCTCCCCATCTCTGCCCAGTCTTCACAGATTCATCAGCTTTCAGTTGAACATTTGGGGGATTGATTTGGGGCCACGCCTCCGGTTGCACGGCGGCTATCGGAGCTGATGGCAGCTGTTCTGGACAATGCTCATGATTCAACCAGAAGCAGCGCAGAGCCAATCGCAGGAAGTCAGACAGAAACGACATAGAGAATACGGTCATTTTTCAAAATAAAATACAGCGTGTAGCCTCTAGACTGAGTGACAGGAAGTCAATCAACAAGAAGTTAATCTTGGATCTCATTTTACACAAATCAACAACATGGGGCAGGAAGATGCTTCTGAACACTCTCGTGGGGCGTGAAGACACGCGTCATAAAGTCGCGTCCGCAATCAGGATTCAATTAAAACTTAACATAATGAACAATTATCTTTACTTCATTCTCTCGTCTCTCCTGACAGGGTTCCCACTCTTTTAAAGAAATCCTTTTCCAGGAGCTTTTCTTGACAACATGGGACAGCACTCACAAAAGGTCCCATGATTTACCGGCAGGTCTGATATTACATCACTTTAACGATGTAGGTTTATAATAAAGCGTCTCAGGTTCATTACAGGTAGCTGATCAGTGTCCGTGGGTTCATTTCTGAAGAAGATATAGAAAGTGCTGTATGTACAGTTAACATCGCTCTGCCTGCATTTGTCATCCACAGCAACAAGAAGAAGAAATGTTTCCACGTCTTTCAGACAACAGTTGGAAATCTGAGCGAGTTGAAAACAACTGTTTCCAGGACGTTTGGGAACCCAACCTGATTAATACGGGGACAATATGACTGCGGATGTAATCATAAATCATCTGGACTTTAAGGCGCAAATTGATGTTTATTATAAACCTGTTTACAGAGTTGATCTCATTGAGAGTAAGAGACGTTATTTGAATAAAAGCTGATATATTTACGAGTATGGGCACACGTTACTCTCTGTCCCTTCAACCCTGTAGCGCCACCTTCAGGACAAACAGCACGTTGTTTGTTGTGTCCAACACTTTCAAACTGTGGCTGTAATGAATACCGCAGCCTCCGGGAGACGCTGGAGAGAGCGTTGTAACTTTGAGGACACGTTACTGTTTACACACACACACACACAGCTCCGGGCTCCTGCTGCTCTACATGAAAACAAATAAATCCGTGTGTTTACTGCCTTTTTAGGAATCAGTGTTCGTCGTCAACCTGCAGCGACGTCTTCTGCATCCACACATTTGTTTTTCTGTGTTGTTTTGGGGTTTTTTGTTTTTTGGGGG